GGGTTTAGGGTTTAGGGAAACAGTACGAAGCATCCCTAGCATTGCTGGAGCATTGGTTTTGGGCCGTCAGGCAATACGGTTATTGCGGGGCTCAGGAATTTGCTATAATATACTATAACGTGCTGTAGTATACTTTAAATTTTCTATAATATACGATAATATTATACTAACATATACTTTAAAGTTTCTATAATATACTATAATACTATACGATAACATACTGTACAATATTATAATAGATTATGGTATACTATCAAAAGATGCTCAACCCAATGGTTTTGACATGGGTCTGCCTGAGTTCGGAGCTTTGGAGCTTGTGGAGGTTTGAGGGTTTTGAGTAATTATGTTGATTTGGGCCACGCCGACTTTAGTATAATACATTATACTATACTAGAAAACATTATACTACACCATAATATACCATAATATACTGTAATAAACCATCGCTTAACAATGTTGTTGGTTGTCAAACCTCCGCCCATGAGCACATCAGTCTGTAGCCTCAGACCCCGGATTGAGATTGAAAAAGGGGTCAACTTGAATTTGAGGGATGAAATGAGTATTCTGTACCCGGAAGAAATGGGATCAGCAGAACAATGGCACACTGACCTACAGCTTAAGTGCCAGAAATCTAAACTTCTAACCGCCAAAACCTCAATTCCCTAGACTTGAACTCCATAAACTCCAAACTTGAAGCGCCGATTCCGAAACTGCCCTTGAGCACCTCTCCAGTGTCGCACAGCGCGTTGAATAGCGTGCTCTTGCCAACATTGGGCAAGCCCACAATGCCTGCCCCCAGCTCAGATTGTACGGCTTCAGGGTCTGATTTTTTACCCCTGAATAATACGTGCTGTAATGTAATCTGTAGACCAAAGGGACCCATACTTTTGAGAACAACCCTCATGGTTATAAGCAGCGACACTTAGTCAAGGTCCAGGGATTTGGGACTCTTCCACATTTTTTCAAACCCGATCCCCTGTAAGCCGTTATACACCCTCAACTCTATCAACTCTTCGAACCACATTGAACCTACAAACCCTACAAGGCATCTAACCGTCCAGACATTACAAACCCTGTAGACCCTGAAAACCCGATGAAGCCTGTATTTACCAAAGCCCTATAAACCAAATGAAGCCCTAAAGCTTAAACTATCTACCAAACCCCTATAGGCCCTAAACCTTAAACCCGAAACTCTAAACCCTTACAGTATTAGCCCATGTAATTGCTTATAAAAACTTGTAAACCCTACAAGCACTACAGCATTAAACAGTTTTGGAGCTCGGTGCTTGGCACAGGGTTTAGGGGTTCCGAAGAGCCACGGGGAGGCTTGTTATGAACGGACCATGTGAAGAAGATCTGGGGCTTTTAGGAGTCTACTGAGTTTAGGGTTTAGGGTTCAGGGTGCAGTTTCGGGTTTAGGGTGAAGAAAGTCTGGGGCTAGGTAGGGGCGCCGACACCTTACGTACAAACCCTGGATGATGCTATCGCGATTTTAGTAATTGTGTTCATTCATATTCTTACTCTGTTTGTGTGTTACCATGATTCCTGCTATTACCGCTAGCATTTAAGTCTTGCTACTTGTATTGTTGTTCTTATCAAAAGAGACATCCTACTTTTTGGGAGTTGCGCTTGACATTCTGCAGTCATGATGTGAAGCCTGATTTACTTAAACCTTATTCAGAATCCTGGCATGATTTTGGTATGCGGCGGTACCTTGCTTGCTTGCTTGCACGCTCCACTGG